GGCGTCGAGCAATTTTCTAACATTCCTCGTTTGTACTCAGAGCCTTCCGTTTCCTCTCTAATTCGTATTCAAATGCGTTTAGCCAGAATGCTCTATCCATGCCTCTTATTAGTTATTAGATAGCGCTTCTTATCAAACAAGTACCACTATTGTCAGTCCGCCAGCATCGCGGCGACGACTCAGCCCTTACCAGTACTGCTTTGATTTGCTCCAAATGCCACGTGCCATTCCGTAGCACCACGTGCCATTTGACGCACGTGGCCCACGAGCAACGCTGCGGTCCCACGTGGCCTCCTCTTGGTCCCATCTGCTGCTCCTCTGTACGCCAGAGCGTTAGTCCCGCCGTGCTTTACGCTCGAGCATTTACCGGTCCCCGCAAATCATGGGGGCTCAGAACTTCCCTGATGAAAACTATCTCCGCGCGCTCGTCGCGAACCCTCCACTTTTTGGTCCAACGGCGGATACCCCCCCGCGCGGCGGTCTGCACGCCCGCCACGGTGACGTGGGCGTAACCGTTGGCGCATTCATTTCCCCCACAACGGACCACGTGGGCCTGGAGAAGCGCGTCGGGGGAGAATTTGCGCCGCCTATGCGCGCGTCTGTACCGCAACCGCACGATCTGTTTATCCGCGGTCCGGCCCCGTCAAGCTCTGCGCATGGCCACGACTCTGGAGACGCGGAGCCCTTTCGAGTTGGCTTACGCGGAACCGCGGACGGTCCCAGCGCGTTCGCCGCGCCCATCCCCCCCGAGCGGCGGTGGCGGGAGGAGCGGAAGCGACCGTTGGAATCAGAATGGGCGGAAAACCCGCGGGGTTTCACAAATACGCCTATCAGTCAGCATGGCGCGACCGAGGCGCCAGACAGGGACCGTCAGCGCGGCGCGTGGCGGAGGTGGGCTGTTTCCGCGGGCTCGGCGGAGATAGAAGTCGCGCGGGGGCGAAATGGATGCTTGCTGTCGGAAGGCGAAACGGTGGGTGTGTGTGACGGGGCAGGGCGAAGAAGCGGGGGGGGCACGGGACGTGGGGGAAGTTGGGTAAGGGCGGAGAGCGGGGGGAGGTGGGGAAGGGCGGGAAGGAGGGGGAGGGCGGGAAGGGCGGAAAGTTGGCCGCATTCAACTGAGGGAAACGGGGAGCGTGGCGCTTGTGGGGGAATGAGCTCTGAAACAGCGTCCATGTGGCACGACTGGATTGGCTTGCAAGGCTGGCAGCAGCAACAGCTGGGCGCGCCAGCGCATGGAAAAGGGGGTATTCCGCATCAGTGGAACCTTGAAGTCCCTCATAAGGCAAGCACACCTGCAGCGCCGCTTGCTGCTGTCCTGCCATCTGCCACACCCGCTGCAGTCACATGCGTTGCAAGGAACCCGGGACCAGCCAGAGATTCCGCAACTCTTGAAACTCTTCAATCCCCGGAATCAACGAGAGACGATGCGTGTGGTTTGGTGGATCTTTCCCTTCGTCTTGGGCTGAGCCCGGAGCGTCAAGAGCAAAACTCTGCCTGCGGAAATGGGGAAGGAAGTGCGGGTGGAGCAGAGGAGAGAAAGGGGGTGTCAGCAGGGGGAGTGGAGAGCATGCAAGGCAATGGGGGATGTGGTTTGATGGGGGAATTTCTTGGGGCGGAGAAGGTACAGCAGGTGGCGGGTGCAGCGCGTGGGGAGGGGTATATGCTGGTGCAGGACAGCATTTGGGAGTGTGAGCCTCCTGCTGCTGCTGCTACATCTGCCGGTGCTGCTGCTGCTGGGTCAGGGGAGTCCCTGTCTTGGGGTGAGGGCAAGGGCGGGAGTGTGTACGAGCGCCATGCACTGCTGTACCAAATCAACCTGGATCGCCACATGAGGGGCGAAAGGATGATGAGGGGCGAAGGGGAGCGGGCCAAAGCATCTGAATGGGAGTGAGTGGTGTGCGTCTGCTGGTACTGCTGCTGGTGCAGGGAAGATGAGGGCCAAGGGACACATGGCCAGCTTATCACAGCTGGAATTAAGCAGCCCTTGCTGCTGGCATGTTATTCAGCTGCTTACCAACCCATGCTCTCCCCACTAACTGCCCACTTGTAAATATTATGGCTCTGTATATACCGTACCCAGTATACGTGTTAATACTGTATCACCGTCCAATCGTGCCTTTACGTCAAACCATTCAGAACTCAGCTGACTTCGCTGCAGCTGTACGCGAATTTGGCGTGGAGTCCTTGCCTACCTAGATTTGTCTGTTTCTAGGCTTGTTTCAGTCATCTATATGACAGATCTCCCAAGTCAGGCTAGATAAAAGCAGGATGAATACTGAGAGAATGGCCTTAAGAATTGCTGAAAGCACACTTAATCGCTTTAGTTCTCGTGAGATTTTCAAGTGTGCAATGCACCAATGCAGCTAAACCACATGCAAAGCGCATTCAACACATCACGCATGTTTTAGGGGCCTCAAAGTCTGATTGATGTGATACCACTGGTGTTACTTTGCTGGCGTTCTTGCTACACATGGCCAGTAAAACGTTTCGGATCTATCATAACGAGGTAGCCAGAACTAGCCTAGAATCTTCTTCTGCTCGGTATAAAGGGACCAGTTTACAGCCTAGTGTTCTTCACTTAGGGTCATTCCGCTGTGGACACATGTCCCAATCGATGTGTCCCAATCGTTTCTACCGCACTGCATCGTATTACACCAAATTGCACCCTAGTTTCGAAATTTTCGCGTCTCTGGTTTAGTTCGGTTCGGAGCGGTACACTCGATTGGGACACATCGATTGGGACATGTGTCCACAGCGGAATGTACCCTTATAACAAGGCCTTTACCCTTGCACAAGCTGAATATGGGCCAAACCATCCCCACATGTACACCCTCTTTCGCGCTGGTAGAGCATCTGGTTGCAGAACATACACGGGTTGTAGAACGTCACCACGTTCAGAACGGTCTTGTCACACCTACTGTACAAGCACAACGCGAAGAATGCGGTTAGGTGAGGTGATGCACTTTACAGACAGATTTGTCAACGTTTTCGTTTTGTTGGGAAGGGTATACAGCGATTATGGAAAATTTTCGCCCTTGAGCCAGTTTGTCACGTGGTTCGGCTTTTCCCCCAGGTTGCTAGGAACGTTTAATGGCACGAGATCGCAAGAGACAAGTCTTGTAGCGACGAGTTGCACAAGGTGAAAAGGTTGAGAAAGAGGGTGCACCAGGAAAACAAAATATGGCATGGCGACCATTTTCCCCCTTCGAGTTCTTGGTTCTTGTCCCGATTCCCTCTGCCCCATTTCCATCCATTCGGCTAGCCATCTCCCCCCTTCTTCCCCCTCAACTCCCGCCACTCCCTCCTTCCCCGCACTTCCCCTTTCGCTTCCTCACCCTTCTTTCCCGCACTCACGAGACTGTGCTTGTACTGTACCGCGTTCCAGAAGGAAACCAGCACAGAGTGTTGGATCTGAATATATGATCGTCTAGAATCTCAATATTATCTTCGATTTCCGCCTAAAAAACAGCTGTCTTCTGGCTGTCTACTGGAAGTTACCACACTACCGCCAACACTGATTTTCTTGCTGGCATGTGAAGTTCCAGCTTGCATTCGCGCGACCGCGGCGATAAGCCTTTAGCGGCCGTGGAAAGCGGGGGTAATCATTAAGGCCCAATTGGAAGCCGCAAATAGAGGAATTTGCCATGTGGATAGTCACGTGCACAAACTAGGCTGCAGTGCCGCTCGCACCCCTGACTGACGAACTCGCGGCATGCCGCTATTCCGATATTAAAAAGACACGTCTGTATGACGTGGCACGAATGACTGCCAGTCAGTGTATCCCCACGATAGCGATTTCGACTCACGTGCTTGCCAGTGTTCGCGGATTAGTGACGCGCACTACTACAGCTCATAGTCTTACTATTACACTGACTGACAGTGTAGTATGCATCGCTGGACCCCAAGTGTGTTTGACTTGGGACTGTGGCGTCGCGCGGCGAGCTGTGTAACGCCTGTGGGCTGTGTTAAGGGCACTCCGCTGCGCCAAATAACACCCTCGTTTTGACCCAGTGGGTAGCGAGGTGTTATACTGGTATCAGAGCCTAGGGTTCGAGTCCCGGCTGGTCCACACTTTCCACCTATGGTGAGAACTGAAGTGTGGTTACCAGCTCGAACCCAGCGAACGATCCTGAAATCTAGGTCCCAGCGGCAGGGGGCCGACTCCCTGAAGTCCGAGGCCAACGGGGACGTTGGCACCAGGGGGGGACGAGTGTAACGCCTGTGGGCTGTGTTAAGGGCACTCCGCTGCGCCAAATAACACCCTCGTTTTGACCCAGTGGGTAGCGAGGTGTTATAAGCTGCGAGGAGGACTCCTCGGCGGAGCTGGCACATGATGTGTGTCTGTTTCGGCGGGAAATCGAGAGAATGCAATGCCACATGTCGCTCGCAAATATCGGACAACACTTGGTCTCGAGTCGAGCACTCCAATGTCTCGAGATGCACCCTGCGGGGTAATTCTGGTGTCAGCTTCAGTGTGCTCAACATACTATTTCCTTCATTACCAGCTGTTTTTGCTCATTGCAGTCAAGAAAAAAAATGTTGTGAGGTCATGGCCGATCGTCCTTGAGTCAGTCAGTCCGCTACTGCGACTAACCATCACGGCCCGAGCAACGCCGCTGCCGTTTCTTCCGCTTCAGAGGCCGCTGCTCCTGCTGTCCTGCTGTTCCTGCTACCTCCATTGCGGCCCCTCGGTCTCCGCCGCTGGGCGCGAAAAAAGGGTCAGCCTGACCCGGGTTAACATCTACCCTCAAAGAATACCTCTCGAGTCTAAAACCTCACCCAGAAAAGACAGCTTTGGGGTGAGCGTGAGCCACGCTCGAGCCACTGACAACGCGCCGTCATTCAGACTGCATCCGCCCCTTTCCACACGCATGGCGGCCAAAAACCTCCCTGATAATGCCCACCATCTGCACACACTCATCACAAGCCCGTCACTTATCGACCCTCCGGAAGGTCCAACTAGTAGAGGGGCCGGCGGTGTGAGCATCCGCCACGTGGACATGGGAGGAAGAAGCAATGACGCATCATCCCTTCCCCCCAGAACTGAACACGCCGCCATCCCGTCCGTGTTCGCTGCAGCACGGTACAACTCGCTCACGGACCTCCGAGGCACGCCTGGTTCCAGCGCATTCGCCTTGCCGCCGGCCGCTTTCGCCAAAACCTGGGCGGCGGCGCCGTCCGTTACTGCCCACCGGCGGTGGCGGTCAGTAGAGGAGGTGTGGAAGAGGCCGCGGGAATCAGAGCCGGGGGAGCAGCAGCACAAGAGCTACAGAGAGCACTTTAAGACAATGGAGGCTGCTCTTCTTTCGCCTCAAACGACGTCTCGTGTTTTAAAGCCAGGGGAGCAGCAGCAAGAAAGTAGCAGAGCACTTTCTGAGGCACCTCAAAACCAGCAGCAAAAGAGCTACAGAGAGCAGTTCAGGATGATGGAGGCCACGCTTCGTTCGCCTCAAAGAGAGCCTCTTGTCTCTGAGGCGCCGCAAACAGCGTCTCGTGTCTTAGAGCAGGGGGAGCAGCAAAAAAAGGGCTATTGTGCGCACTTCAGGACGATGGAGGCCGCACTGCATTCGCCTCAGAAGGAATCTATTGTCTCTGAGGCGCCGCAAACTGCGACTCTTGTCTCCGAAGGGGGGGAGCAGCCGCAAAAGAGCTATAGGTCGCATTTCAAGATGATGGAGGCCGCGCTTCTTTTTCCTCGAAGGGAATCTCTCGTCTCCGAAGCGCCTCAAACGGCGTCTCTTGTCGTAGAGCCGGGGGAGCAGCAACGAAAGAGCTACAGCGCGCACTTTATGATGATGGAGGCCGCACTTAGTTCTCCTCAAAGGATGCCTCTACTTTCTGAGGCGCCTCAAATGGCGTCTCTTGTCCCTGAGGCACCTCAAAGGACGTCTCTGATTCCAGAGCTGCCTCAAAGGGTGTCTCTTGCCTCTCATCTGCCTCAAACGGCGACTCTTGCCTGTGAGGCGCCTCAAGGGGCAGAAAATACCATCACCACTAGTCATACAACTGCCAGACCACACACCATTGGCCGCCTCCCTCCAGTGCCCCGTTGGAGCCAGCAAGGCCAGGCTGAGGCTGAGGCGCAGCTTTCCAGTGAAAGGGACCTGCAGCGCAGCAATGCCTTGCACGGATGGGTTAGTGGTGGTGGTGGTGGTGGTATCCAGGGTCACACTCTCATGGCAGAGGTGGTAGCGGCCGCACGGAGTTGGGATGGACGCCTGCTGGCGGAAACTGTGGGCGTGGTGGATGGGGCAGGGGAACTAAGCGGGGGAAGCATGGGGAGCGGGGAGAGTTGGGGAAAGGAGGGGAGCGGTAGAGGCGGGGGAAATAGGGGAAGCGGGGGAAGGGCGGGAAGGGCAAGAAGGGCAGGAAGGGCGGGAAGTTGGCCCATTTGCTCTAAGGGAAAGGAGGAAGGCGGTGCTGGTGGTGGGAGAAATCCAAGAACCGCCTCCACGTGGCACGACTGGACTGGCTCGCGGAACTGGCAAGGTCAGCAGCAGCAGCAGGGAGCACATGCAGAAGAAATTGCGCCACAGCAAAATCCTTTACCCCTTCAAACGGCTGTCAATAAAGGCAATAAACATCTGTCGCAATCCCCTGCCCTCCCTCCCCCTCCCCCTCGCCCTGTTGCCAACGTGCACTCTAGCAGCCCTCAAGGAGCTCTAGATCTGTACACAGCCTCAGAGCCAGCCGCTGCCTTCTCCGCTGCAGGCGCTGCTGCCTCAACGCCTCTAGCTTCTCCCTTTACAAGCACACGCTCTCTGCGCTACTCACCTGCCAGCTCAACCCATGCTGCCACCCGCTTCCTAAGCAACAGCCCGCCTGCCCGTCCTTCTCCAGTCACAACTCTCAATCCCGGACCAGCCAAACGCCCAGCGTGTGCCTCACTGGATCTCTTTCTTCGGCTAGGGCAGAGCCCGGAGCGTGAAGAGACAGACGAAGCAGAAAAAGAGGCTGCAGGGGGGGATGATGAAGGAGGTGTGGGTGGAGCAGAGGAGAAAGAGGGGATGTCATCAGGGGAATTAGTGTCCATGCCAGGCTATCACATGTACGCCCCATATGGGGGATGTACCTCGTGTGACGATGATTTCGATAAGTCACAACTGCCACCACAATCTCTGCAGTCGCCACAGTCAATGCAGTCAACACAGTCAATGCAGTCAACACAGTCAATGCACTTGTTACGGCTGCCCTTTGTAACATCGCGTGACCCTGTGTCTATTCTCAAACCTGCTGCTGCTGGTCAGAATGCTCAAAAGCCGAGCTTCAGGGCGCCTATGCCCACACGTGGCGTACGGCGCAGGAGCGTAAGTTTCACACTGCCAGCCGTTCCCGAAGGCTATGCACTGACTCATGGTAGCACCTGGGCGTGTGAGTTTGCTAATGCTGCTGCTGCTGCTGCTGCTGTTGCGGCTGCTGCGGCTGCTGCTACTTCCGCTGCTGCTGCTCCTGCTCCTGCTGCCGCTGCTGCTGCAACCGCTGCTGCTGCTGCTGCTCCCGTGGCTGGCACTTCTCTGGGAGTGCATGGGCGGTATGCACTGGCACGGGACAGCATCTGGGAGTGTGAGTCTGCTGGTGCTGCTGCTGCTGGTCCAGAGGGGGACATTTCCTGTGCTGAGAGCAGAGGCACCAGTGTGTATGAGCGCCATGCACTGCTGTACCAAATCAACCTGGATCGCCACATGAGGGGCGAGGGGAGGATGAGGTGTGAAGGGGAGAGGCCCGAAGCATCTCAGTCGGAATGATTCGTGTCCATCTGCTGCTGCTACTGCTGCTACTGCTGCTGCTGCTGCTGCTGCTGCTGCTGCTGCTGCTGCTGCTGCTGCTGCTGCTGCTGCTGCTGCTGCTGCTGCTACTGTTGGTGCTGCTGCTGGTACAACTGGTGCAGGGGGGACGATCTCTTGTTGTGAGAGCAAGGGTGGACGTGTGTACGAGCGCCATGCACTGCTGTACAAGCGCCCTGCACTGCACTGCTGGATCGCCATATGAGGGGCGAGGCAAAGAGGGACCAGGGGCGAAGGGGTGCGAGGCAAGCCATCCGTCTGGAAAGAAAGCAGTTTCAAGTCCGGTGCTGCTGCTGCTGGCACAGGGGGGAATGGTCATGGCGTTTGGCTGGGAATAAAGCAGTGTGAGTCTTGTGGCCACAACTCCTGCAAGAAACCTTCTATCAGCCAGGAGCCCCAATCAGCCAGAAGCCCGGCGTCTGGCTCGCTGGATCCTTCCCTTCGGCTGGGGCAGAGCCCGGAGCATGAAGAGACAGAGACAGATGAGAAAGAGGCTGCAGGGGGAGTGATGAAGGACGTGCGTGAGAAGCAGAAAAGCAGTGGTGTGGATCAGAAGAGCATAAGGGGGTGACAGGAGATTGGTGTCCATGCCAGGCTATCACATGTGCGCCCCATATGGGGGATGCACCTCGTGTGACGTCGGGTCTGATAAGTCACAACAGTCGATGCAGTCAATGCAGTCCTCACAGCCGACTCAGCCGCTACAGCCGACTCAGCCGCTACAGTCGCCACAGTCAATGCAGTCCTCACAGCTGAATCAGCCGCTACAGTGGCCATAGTCAACTTTTGCAGCATCGAGCGACCCTGTGTGTCGTCTCAAAGCTGTTGAACCACTAGAGCCGAGCTTCAGTTTCCCTGTGCCCCCGTGCGGCTTTGAGACGCCTCAAAAGGAGAGCTTCAGGGCGCGTGTGGTCGCACGTGGCATGCGGTGACAGAGCGCCTCTTTCACACGCCCAGCCCGAGAGATATGCTCTGGCGCATGGTAGCACCTGGGCTTGTGAGTTTGCTAATGCTGCCGTTGCTGCTGCTACTGCTGCTGCTGCTACTGCTCCTGCTACTGCAGCAGCTGCTGCCACTGCCACTGCTGCTGCTCCTGACGCTGATCCTGTGGCTGGCACTTCTCTGGGAGTGCATGGGGGGTATGCACTTGCACGGGACAGCATCTGGGAGTGTGATTCTGCTGCTGCTGGTGCTGGTGCAGGGGAAGATAAGGGCGAAGGGACACATGGCCAGCTTATCAACATCTGGGAGTGCGAGTCTGCTGCTGCTGCTGCTGCTGCTGCTGCTGCTGCTGCTGCTGGTGGTGGTGGTGGTGGTGGTGGTGGTGGTGGTGGTGGTGGTGGTGGTGGTGGTGGTGGTGGTGGTGGTGGTGGTGGTGGTGGTGGTGGTGGTGGTGGTGGTGGTGGTGGTGGTGGTGGTGGTGGTGGTGGTGGCAGTGGTGGTGGTGGTGGTGGTGGTGGTGGTGGTGGTGGTGGTGGTGGTGGTGGTGGTGGTGGTGGTGCTGCTGCTGCTGCTGCTGCTGCTGCTGCTGCTGCTGCTGGTGCAGGGGAAGACAAGGGCGAAGGGACACATGGCCAGCTTATCACAGCTGGAATAAAGCAGCCCTTTAAGGGGTGGCTTGCTGGCATGTTTGTCAGCTGCCCATGCCCTCCCCACGTAGAACTGCCCACATGTACAGTACGGTATGGCTCTGTACATACCCAGTAGACATAATAAATTACATTTCAAGAATACCCACCAATTCTCAAATGATGCGTATCTTTTGTACCTTCACAGAAGGCCATGCATGTTTTGCATCTGAGTAAAAACAGCACTTCTCAGTCTGATGGGGTGGGTGGGTTATATATATACGGTATATTTAAGGAGATGCAAACTGACACATGTCAAGCTATCTGAGCTGTGACTGGATCTTAGAGTCTACTAAAAAATCGACTTATCACACGTGGAGATGCAACCTGACTGACACATGTCAAGCTACCTGTGGCAGAACCATGAACAAGGACCATGCAGCAGGGTTCTGAATCATGGTTCACTTGAGACAAAATATTACATTTTCCTGAATACTCAACCCTCAGAATTTCAAAAATCATTATGTATACACAGATGAGCAATTAGGGCGTGTTCCTACGACCTCTTATCAGACAACTCCTGCCGGGCTTGTGTGGTTCAATGCGTTTCAGTGCAACTGAATGTGATAGCGTGGATTACAGAGCGGTGCGACATTCACCCCGCGCCAGTGCATACCCCCCTCGAAGTCGCAAACATTCACCACTAGCAGCAGCAGGAGCAGCATGCGCGGGAGCAGGAGCAGGAGAAAGAGGAGCAGCAGCAGTAGCGGCGGCAGTAGCAGCAGTAGCATCGGCAGCAGCAGCAGCAGCATTAGCGAACTCACAAGCCCAGGTGCTACCATGCGCCAGGGCATAGCCCTCGGGCACAGCTGGCAGTGTGAACGGGCTGCTCCGCTGCCGCATGCCACCTGCCACCACAGGCGCCCTGAAGCTCTCCTTTTGAGGCGTCTCAAAACCACGCGGGGGCACAGGCAGCCTGAGGCTTGGCTTTTGAGGTGTCTCATAACCACATGGGGGTATAGGTGCCCTGATGCTCTCCTTTTGAGGCGTCTCAATAACACGCGGGGGCACAGGCAGCCTGAAGCTCTCCTTTTGGAGCGTCTCAAAACCACGCGGGTGCACAGGCAGCCTGAGGCCCGGCTCCTCTGCTGGCCCAACAGATTTGAGACGACACATAGGCTCGTGAGACGCTACTTTAGCAGACTGTAGCGAGTGTGGTAACTGTAGCGAGTGTGGCGACTGTAGCGACTGCGGTGACGGCAGCGAGTGGGGAGACTGTTGCGAGTGCGGTGACTGTAGCGAGTGCATTGACTGTGTTGACTGCATTGACTGTGTCGACTGCAGTGACTGTGTCGACTGCATTGACTGTGTTGACTGCATTGACTGTGTTGATTGAATCAACTGTGGCGACTTTGGCGACTCATCAGACCTGACGTCACACGAGGAAAATCTCTCATAAGGGGCGAACCACTTATTACCCAGCATGGACACCAATCTGCAGGGTAACACCCCCCTGTGCTCTTCTGCTCCATTCGCACCTCCCTCATCATTCCCCCCTGCAGCCTCCTGCTCTGCAGTCCCTTTCTCCTCTGTCTTTGTCTCCTCCCGCACTGGGCTCTGCCCCAGGCGAAGGGAAAGATCCACTGAGCCACACGCCGGGCTTTTGGGTAATGGCAGGTTCCTCACAAGAGATGCGGCTGAAGAGGGATGAGCGGAAGCGCTGTTGCTTGGGTAGGGAGTGGGGGCATGGCGGGGGTGGGAAGGCGAGAAGCTCAGACAGGGTGTGCCTTTGAAGGGAGAAGCGAGAGGTGGTGTGGCAGCAACGGGTGTAGAGGATAAGGCAGCAACAGTCACCGAGGCTGTATGTGGGTCCAGCGCCTCTGGAAGGCTGTCAGGGTGTGTGTTGGCAGCAGCGTGAGGGGGAGGGGGGGGGGAGGGGGAGGGCAGCGCAACAGGGGTTTATTGCCTCCATTGCAATCCGTTTGAAGGGGTGAAAGACTACGCTTTGGCGCAATTTCCCCCGCAAGAACTTGCATGTGCTGCTGTTCCTGCTGCTGTTCTTGTTGCTGTTCCTGCTGCTGCTGCTGCTGCTGCTGCCACTGCTGCTGCCACTGCCGCTGCTGCTGCTGCTGCTGCTGCTGCTGTTGCTGCAGCAGCTGCTGCCACCACTGCTGCCGCTGTTGCTGCCGCTGCCGCTGCTGCTGCTCCAGCCGCTGCTGCAGCTGCTGAAGCTGCTGCAGCTGCTCTTGCTCCTCCTGCTGCTCTTGCTCCTCCTGCTGCTGCTCCTGCCAGCTTCTCGAGCCAATCCAGTCGTGCCACGTGGAGGCGGTGCTTGCATTCCTCCCCCCACCAGCACCATGCCCCCCTCCCCCCTTAAAACAAAACCGCCAACTTCCCACCCTTCCCACCTTCCCCCCGCTTCCCCTGCCGTCTCCCCTGCTTCCCCTGCCTTCTCCCCCGCTTCCCCTGCCTTCTCCCCCGCTTCTCTCTTCCCCGCTCCGGACGCTGCCCCCGCTTCGTTCCCCTGCCCCATCCCCCACGCCCTCACCAGATTCCCCCAGCAGCCGCCCATCCCAACTGCGTGCGGCTGCTGCCACCTTGCACGGCCCGTTGGTTGGTACTGGTAGTCCCTTCCCCGGGAAAGCTGCGCCTCGGCCTCTGTGCCTTGCTGGCTCCTCCAAGCACGCGGTGCTCGGGGAAGGAGACCGGTGCTGTGCGGTGTGCTGTTGTTATTCGTGGTGATAGTGTTGGACGCCATTTCTGGCGCCTCAGAAACATGGCATGCAGTTCGAGGCGGCTCAGACAGAAGAGATGCCGCTTGAGCCACCCCAGAAATAAGAGACGCCCTTTGAGGGGCTTCAGCCTCAGAAAGAAGAGAATCGGCTTCCATGGTCAGGAGGCGCACTCTTTGATAGCCCGTGCGCCAACCTAGCTGCTCCGCCTGCTCTGATTCCCTCAGCCTCTTCCCCGCCTGCTCCACCGACCGCCACCGCCTACGCTGGGCGGTAGAGGTAACGACGGGGGCCGCCCAGGTTTCTGTGAAAGCGACCGGCGGCGAGGCGAATGCTCTGGAACCGGCGGGCGTGCCGGGGAGGTGTCCCGCGCTGCCCTTCGTGACTCGTGAGTTGTGGGTCTGCCGCGGTGCAGCGCACAAGGTGATAGACGGGATGTCGCCCACCGCTGCCGCGTTGTGTTCAGTTCTGCGGGGAAGGGATGATGCGTCAATGCTGCATCCGCCCATGTCGATGTGGCGGACGCGCGCCGGGTTTTGAGACGTCTCAAAAGTCGTTCTGCAGGAAAGGGATGATGGGCCAATGCTTCCACCCATGATGTCGATGTGGTGGACGCGCGCCGGGCTGGCAACTGAGTTTTCGTGCGGGGGAACATGATCCGGGGAGTGAAAAAGCAACGGGTTTGCACGCGCGATCAGATAGTAGTCATCAGGGAGATCATGGGCCGCCATGGCATGCGTTGCGGATTGGCCGCGCCTTGTCAGTTGCTCGAGCTTAACACGGCGTGGCTCACGGCGCTCACCACTGGCGGACCCAGGGCAGGCAGCAGGAACAGCGGGACAGCAGGAGCCGCCTTGGAGGCAAAAGAAAAGAGTAGAAACGACAAGTGGAGGCGAAGCGGACAGCAACGGAGTTGCTCGGTGGGGAAAGACTGCGAGAGTGAGAGCTCAGCGCAGTGGCGGACTATCTAATGCAGCTCTTTCTTGATTTTGCTAAGCAGAAAACCATCTAATGAAGGACATAATATGTTGAGAAACATAGGAGCTCATATACCCGAATGTCTTGGAATAGTTGATTCCGAGAGAAGTGCAATACTCGACTCGAGTGGAGTATTGCACTTCTCTCGATTTCTTGCCGAAACAGGCGCCAGCTCCTCGCAGCTCGCGCGTCGCGACAACTCCCCAGTCCAGCATTTGGGGCCAGGCGATACATACCACTCTGTGAGCTGTAGAGTATGCGTCGCTGTAGTAGTATGTATCGCCAGGAGGAGTTGTCGCGCGAGCTGCGAGTATCACTTGCCAGCGATAAATACCACTCCGTGAGCTGTAGAGTATATGTGTAACAGTGCAGCAGCCGAATGCTGCCAACTGCAATGCAGGAGGGCGGAAGTCAATCGTTATAGTGCAGCAACTCAACTCCAAGAACAGTGCAGGTGGGCGGAAGTCAAGCGCCACCTCACCTACAGTTCGGATTGGTCAAGCGCCCCATCCTGCAGCTGGGCGACCAGATTCCGACACGCAGCCCAAGTCAATCCCACGCACGAAAATTACGAAACGCAGTACTCCGAAGTTCCGACCGCTCCCCGACTTTGCCAACAACACCGACGAAATTAAGGCCCCGTAACCAAGCTCGCCGTCCAATCCCGTACAGCAATAATTATCTGAATTTCACGGCAGGTTCATTTCAAAGGGTTGGGTTACCATTGAGAAATTCAGAGAGAGTCGCGACTTGGGAGTGTGACTCGATGTTTGAATGTGCTCTATAAAATTGTACTGTCAAATTTGTGAAGTCATAGTGCAAATTCCAGAGAACTCCAGAGAGCACTCTATACTCGTTTTTCAAGCCTACTAAGGCTGCTACCTCCCTGCCAGCAACGTTTCACTGGTAATCAGAGCCTGGTTAGTTATTTCGCACGCTCCCGCCATATTCTAGACCCTATGGCTGGACCGTCTGATATGACGCCGGAACTCTGGAACGAATTTGTGGCGAATATGCGCCGAGAGATTGAACGCGAGGTGCGTGACCGGATCCTCGGCGAACTCCAGGAACGTGGACTCCTGGGCACACAGGTGTCGGCGCCAGCACCTGCACGTCTGAAAGCACCCGAACCTGAGCCATTTGTCCCTGGAAAATGGGACTTACCTGTGCGAAGATGGCTCTTCCAAATGGAGGAGTACCTTTCCCTATGCCACGTGAACCAAGCCGAGTGGGCGCGTCACGCCGGCATGATGCTGCGAGGAGCTGCTGCTACTTGGTGGCAGAGCTGCCACGCTACAATTTCAACATGGGAAGAATTTTCTGCATCACTCACCATGAACTTCGAACCTGTCAACGCGATTGAACGCGCTCGGGACAACCTCGCTACACTACGCCAACACCGCTCCGTAGCCGAATACGTCAACCGTTTCCGGGAGTTGGTCCTGGAGATTCCCGATATCCATGCCTCCAAGCAGATGGATAAGTTCAAGCGCGGGCTGAGACGAAAAATTCGCACCGAAGTGGAGCTTCGCGGATGTACGTCGATGGATGATATGATCCGTGTGGCGGAACGCTTCGACACGATCAACTTCGCTGCGTTCCAACGCTTCAACGGCATGAGGATGGGTCACACGAATCACGCTCCAGCTGCTCGTGCAAATGGTCCTACACCCATGGAGCTGGGAATGATGGAGAGGCAACCGCGAAATGCTTCAAACGTCATGTGCTACCAATGCGGGAAGATTGGGCACATCAAGCGTAACTGCCCGAATCGTCGCAGCCCAAACGAAGGACGGGGAAACGGACAGCGCCAGTAGCAGTGGGGCAGACCTCTGGCGCGTCGCATGCCCCGCTTCTCCCGACCCCATTATTCATCGGCACCTCTGAACTCTACACCATATCAAACGCTCCATTCTCCGCCATCATTCTCTACGCAAAAATAAAAGACCGCTACGTTGACTTTCTACTCGATACCGGTGCTTCAGCAAATTTTCTCTCTCCCTCAATCGCTGCTGAACTTTCTCTTCCCGAAGATCCCAACAGCAACCCACAGGACGTCATCATGGCAGATGGAACCCGAAGGCGCTGCGGACCTACCCTCCTCCCCGTGCACTGCATGTTCGGAATTCTAGCGGCGACGGCCACGTTCGAGCAACTGCATCTCGGCGGGTACGAAGGCGCTATCGGTCAACCATGGTTGCACCAGTTTGGACCACGGATTTATTGGCGCAACGGAACTGTCACCGTCGGCAACTACGACCTCCCATCCCACTCCTTTCGCCGACCATGGTCATCCCCAACCAGCTCAGCTTCATCAACCCATCCACCCCAACCTGCCCCATCTCCATCTTCCCATATCCCCCCTCTCCCTCCTCCTCGCATAGCTCCCGCGCAGCAGCCAACACCACCCGGCTCTCCCGAAGTGATCAACACACCTCCTCCTTCTCCACCCCACTCAACCCAGCAGCCACGCCGTCCCGTCATCCGCCCCGAATCTGAAGTTATCAATGCACCAGCCCCCACCCCTCCTTCACCACCTCCTCCTCCTCATCTCCTAGTCATCTTCACGGCTCCCGAATCTGAAGCATCAGCTACTTCTCTGCCACCACCCATACAGAATCTGCTCAACGGCTATACGGATGTATTTCCGGATGATCTACCCGCCGAACTTCCACCCGAGCTTGCTATTGACCATAGCATCCGCCTCATTCCAGGTTCTACACCGCCCGTGCGCCCAACCTATCGCATGAGCACTGCTGAACTTTTGGAACTACGACGACAACTCGACGACCTTCTTGAGAAGGGTTTCATCAGCCCTAGCACCTCACCATACGCTGCCCCTGTGCTCTTCACTCGCAAGAAGGAAGGTGACCTGCGTCTTTGCATCGACTACCGCGCCCTCAACGCCATCACGATCAAGAACAAGTACCCGCTACCCCGTGTCGAGGAGTTGTTCGACATGCTTGGAGAAGCGACGGTTTTCAACAAGCTCGACCTCCGCTCCGGTTACCATCAGATCCGCCTCGCCAAAGACGACATCAACAAGACAGCGTTTCGCACCCGCTATGGCCACTTCGAGTTCC